AAGAATAATAGAGCAAAATTTATAATATAAAATTAAGAGTCAAATTGATAACAATGTAAATTTGAAACAATAAGGATGAAATAGTAGATGAAAAAATATATTTATAATGAGTTATCATTTATTTTTCTTTCGTACTCAACGAGTAATCAATATGAGTAATCAATTATGAGGATATATATGTGGTCATTGTAAAACTTTTTTGATATATGATTGTCTTCATTTATAGAGCTAATTAAAAGGGAACAATATTTATTATTTTCAGGAATTTTTCTTTAATTTTTATTTTATAATTTATGTATAAATCAAATATATCGTCTAATAATATTTACGTGTTTTGTTTAAATTGTGTATTTATTGATATAGGTACACACGCAAAGCGCGTACCCTGAGACTAGTATTATATTAAAAGCACGAAGGCCCTTAGCAAAATGTCGTTCGCCGTTTTTATCCTTTTAAAATAGAGTTCACACTAGACAAAATAGTCATTTAATTATTTTCTTAAGTTTTAGGTATTTAAAATCTACTATGTTTTGTTTACCAAACCTTTCCTTATTTGAACTATGTACAAATTCTTAATATTTAAAACTCTAAAATCTATTCAGATTTTATTACTTCAATTAAATACAAACGTATAATAAATACATAAAATTGATCATAAATATCTCAACTTTTATGCAAGTTACTTCACATATATAAACCAATTGAATGGAATAGTCATTAAAAGATAACAATACTTACGTAGACCTGTTGGTAATTAGAACTTTTGTTAATTGAATGCCTTACATTGAAATATATCTACGTTATGATATGTTTAGGAGGTTTTACGTAGGAAATGATACTTATCTATGATAAGTATCAACTTTATATCTATATCTATCTATATCTATATCTATACATACATACTATATTAAAAGCACGAAGGCCCTTAGCAAAATATCGTTTGCTTTTTTTGCCCTTTAAGAATATATTTTATATTGGACAAAGTAGTAATTTTAATTATTTTCCTAATATGTAAAAATAGTCAATTATTTTTCTAACATGTAGGGACAATCATTTAATTAAATGCCTAGTATTTAGGACTTTGATATGGAAAATCATATAATTATCTTTTTTTTTTTTTGTAAAAGTTTTTGTTTAAGAATCCTTGACGAGCTCTTTTCTTTTCGTTAAAACGTTTCAGGTTTAGTAGTGTTTTTCTTTTCTTTTCAGAACTTCTTTTCTTCGTTTAGTTATGTAATTTGGTTATTACAATGAGCTATAATAATTTATTCTTTTTCTAATCCGTCAAAAATAATTATATTTATTATTAATTAAAAAGTTAAATAATTTGCATTTTACTATTGAAAAGAAAATTGTTATTTTCTATAATATCACTTTAATCATTTAATTAATTCATATAATATTTATTATTAACTGTATTATATGTTGGATAAAATTGTCAATACAAGTAAAATATTTTTCTTGAAAAGAACTGCCGTAAGATAGAAAAGGGAGAATAAAAGAATAGAAAGTAGGAAACTTCCTCTTACTTGATATCCCCAATGACAGAGAAGGTAAAAGACAGTCCTTTTATAGTTTGCAGGGAAAGTAAATATTTTCGAAGGAAAAAAGTTAAAAGAATAAGACAATAACTAAGAAGGTCAAAATTTTCGTAGTTTATAAAGAAAAAAGAATAAGACAATAAGTAGAAAACTCATTAATTAATTTCCCTATTAAAAAAAGTCGAATTTTGTAGGTTAAAAAGGAAAAAGAATAGATAATAAGTAGGAAACTTATTCTTTAATATCGAAATTAAGGAGTGTAAAAAAAACAGTTAATATCCCAATTTTTATTTTCCATGAACACTTTCTTTTAGTTTTTTGGATGATCACTAATTTCATCTACCTATAAAAGACTGTTTGTAGGTCGACTTCTTAAATTAGAATTTTAAAACTATTTTCTTTTTGAAAAAGGGGTTAAAAACTTCTAAAGAAGCTAATATTTTATACTTATTATCATAATTTTTTGATAATAAGCCTTGAGGTAAATTTTTTAACGTTTAGACTGTTTCTTGAAGTTTTGTAATAATAGATGTTAAAAGTTCTTGCATTTTCTACATAGCTATCAATTCAAGTCTGTAATCTAAAAGATAAATAAATGTTTAAGTTTATATAACTAGAATAGATATTCTTGTAGTTTTTTTAATAAGTACTTTATTTGTATTTTAAACATATTACGTGTGAGAAATATATGTGTTTAACAAATTTATTTCGTGAGCATGTAATTGTTGTTTTATGAAAAAATCTGTAAAAAAAAAAAAAAGCGTTTACATGAAATTAGAAAGAATGAGCTTGAAATATTTAAGAATAGAGCAATCAAACTTTATATAGAAAGATATAACAAAGTAGTACAATTGAAAGTGTATATGGCTGAAGAATACATAAGAATTAAAATTAACATTATTATTGGAGATGCTAGGAATATGACTGCCACCAAAAGATTACAATCTTAAAATATAATTCACTAATAATTAATATCGGATCTTAAATATGTTTGCACTTTAATGATCTCTAATGTTTCTTCAATTGGATATAAGACTTGATCTCATTGACAAGGAGGGGTGGCTTTTTTTGTAAATGTTTTTTTCTATTTGAAGTCTAACTTTAGCTTTATCATAGGAAGATCCAAGCATTTCAAGGCTTTTTTTTTGGTCATTCTTCTATTTTTTTTTGGTCATTCTTCTGTTTTTTTCTTCTCTACCCCTTCGGGGTAGGGGTAAGGTCTGCGTACACATTATCCTCCCCAAACCCCATTAATAGAATTTTGCTGGGTTGTTGTTGTTGTTGTTGCTTCTATTTTTTCTTAGCTGTCCTAATACCAAACAAAAAGAAGTTCGTTCTACAAAAAAAGAAAATTGTTAATTAGTTGACATTGTTTGTGTCTACTGTCTTATAGAATGAACTTAAGAATATATATCATGCAAAAAATATTGGAAAAAACTCTTAAATCTTCAAGAGTTTATGTATTCTTGCTAAAAGAAAACATGAAAACTTTTAAAATAGTAATGAAATATAAAAATAAAATAAATTTTTAGTAGAATATAGCAACCAAGATGATTGGGGACTTTTTAGTGTCATCATTTTCTTTATTGAGTTAGCTAAATAAGATCAAGAAACATCATTTTGAAGAACTTTTTTATGTAAATATTTTATAGCTCAAAGACTATTCATTAATATAATATTAACATAATTTTTAAAATTAGTACTTATTAAGAGGGAATACATGCGCAACGCACGTATCCTAAGACTAGTATAATATATATAAAGAGAGAGAGGAGTCCTAAAATAAAAATACATTCATGTACAAATTGAAAATAGGAAAAATATCACATATTTATTGGAAAATATCAGACTTCTTTAGGGCAGAGTTTCTTACTTTATTTAGTAACTAAATTAATAAGATGAGTAATCATTATTTCTAAAAACTTATGTCTTTTTCTTTAATTTTTCATTTACGAAAATCGAACATAATTTTTAATATAAAATTTATGTAATTCTTTATAAAATTTATACTCATTAAGACGAAGTACACGCGCAACGCGCGTCCCCTAAAGACTAGTTTATAATAGGTCCTAGGTACTATTAACATGGAAACAATCACTTAACATAAGCTAAAGTCCTAAAAGGAATACAAATAGATGTAGCTGCTATGGGTGTGATTGATGAAGAAAAATATAATTTCTCGTAGACTAGAATATATGTGTCAAGAATTCTTGTCTTTATATATTTATATCGAATTTACGTCCAATTTTGTCTTCCTATGCAAATATACGTCGAAATGGAGAGTAGGTAGACAAAGCTTTAATTTTGCCTAAGTAAGGAATTAAAAGCAGACACAAAGAAAGCTACATGATTGTACACCTAACACATTGCTTGCAGCTTTCATGCTCAATTGACTATTTAATTTATATATACTAACCCTATGTGGAAAAAAATATAAATTCCTGGTGGAATAAATTAAACCATCTGGTATTTTCAACATATGATCATAATCATCCATTTCCTCCTCCTCCTTTATGGTTTATAAAAACTAAAATATGAGGACAATCATTGAACTTATAAGTTCAAACTCTAATGTGAATTAAGCTTCAAAAGCAAACCAAACGACTGACAATCGTTCGTCTAACGTCTAATTGTCACTATCCATTTAATTCGCATATTAACTAAATGGTACAAAAGAGAGGAGGACATCATTTTCTGAATTAATTGTGTTGGTTGTTTATAGATATACGTCTCTGTGTCAATTATCATGCATCACGCATGTTTAACTCAAATCTAGAAGCCAGAAGGAGCTGATCAATATACAAGAGCAAAGGACAGGACGTAAGGCCCGACTATAATAATTAGTAGAGACTGGGACAAGTCGTGATGTTAGGTCTCTAATCTTATTTACATAATTAAAGCACTTTTTCAGGTCGAAAAGACTCAATATTTCTTCTCTACCTGTTTAAAAACCAACATCCAGGACAGATGTTCGCTGGTTAACTTCATTATTTCATCTTTTAAATAAAGCAAATGTGTGACTATAATTCCGTCAGGAACCTTCTTATTTTATTCTATTATACTTTATGCATATTTGGTTTTCAAACCATTTTTATAATAAAGAATATTTAGATTATTATAAATTATATCTCTAATTTTAGACATATTACTTGCAAGTATCTCTTATTTATTACTCTTTCTGTCCAATTTATGTCACATAATATTTTTTTAGTTTATTTAAAAATAATTTAACTTTATAATTTTCTTTTTATCTTTAATGAGATGATTTATAACTATACAAATATCTAAAGTTTGTTTTAGATCACAATTTTTAAAAAAACAAAAATTAATTCCATATCTAGTCAAATAATATCACATAAATGGTAACGGAGAGAATATCTTACTTGTCTGCCCAAAGATAAAAGAACACTTAAAATAAGAACAGGATTTTATATATATAAGTAAAGAAAATACTAATACCCGGTGGCAGCGAGGAAAGCAAGTGGTATCATCATCTCCCAACCATTAATATTCATGCTGCAATAGAGTCAGTCAAAAGTACAATAAGAAAGAAAAAAAGAAAATTAAACAGAAAAAGAAAGATAAGAACGGAAGAGGTGATAGAAAACTGATGAGAGAAGGATGTATAAGTAAAAAATAAAGCAGAGAAAGATGCAATAGACATAAACAAGAAATTGCTTAACTGATTGACTACAATGTTGCGACTGCAGTTTTTTTATAACAAAAAAACATAGCAAACTTAAGCTAAAAATTAGGAACTACCCCACAAAGTTTTCTCCTAAAAATTAGATAACAAAAACCACGTTAAACTACTTCCTAAGGACTAGAACAAACCTAAAAAAGTAGGAGTTTTATTTACTAACACCCTCCCTTAAACCGAAAGCTTTCGAGCTTCAGTTTATCTTCAATTTCTTGAGTTCTTCCATGGTGCTAAGTCCCAGCATTCTTCTCAAATTTTGGAAAGAAAGTAACTTGAGAGGTTTAGTGAAAATATCCGCCAACTGGTCTTCACTCCGGCAATATGTTAGCTCTATTATTCCTTCATTGTTGAGATCTCGCAAGAAATAGTACTTCACGTCAATGTGTTTGCTTCTTCCACGTAGCACCGGATTCTTTGACAACTTGATGGCAGAGTTGTTGTCACAGAAAATTGTAGTTGTTTTTTCTTGTTTGAATTTCAGTTCTTCAAGAATTCTCCTTAACCAAACAGCTTGACAAGCACAAGTTGTAGCAGCAACAAATTTAGCTTCGGTACTTGACAAAGTGACAATTGATTACTTCTTAGAAGACCACGAAACAACCCTCATACCTAACATAAAAACATAACCTGAAGTGCTCCTTCTGTCGTCTTGATCTCCTGCATAATCACTATCGGTAAAACCAATCAAATCAGATTTTTCACCCTTCTTGTAGAACAAAACAAAATCCTTAGTTCCCTGTAAGTAGTGAAAGATTCTCTTAGAATCTAGCAGGTGAATTTCAATTGGGCTCTCCATGTATCTGCTTATGAGACTTACAGCATATATGATGCCGGGCCTTGTAGCAGCAAGATACATCAAACTACCTACAATTTGCTTGTAGAATGTGATGTCCACCTTATTTCCGCTTCCAACTTTGCATAGCTTCAAGCCAAACTCAACTGGAATGTTGGCAGGATTGCAATTCTGCATTTTGAACCTGTCCAAAATTTCTCGCACATACTTCTTTTGGGAAACAAATATTCCATCATCAGATTGTACTATTTCTAATCCAAGAAAGTAATGCATCTTACTAAGATCGGACATTTCAAACTCATCCATAATAGACTTCATGAAATCGGCAAACATGACACTATCATTCCCAATAAATATAAGATCATCGACATATAAACACACAATGAGTATTTTTTCAGATTCTCCAGTGTTAACAAAAAAGAGTGTTCATATGGACATTTCAGAAAACCAACTTTTAGAAAGTAAGCCTCAATACGACTATACCAAGCTCGCGGAGCTTGTTTTAGTCCGTAAAGAGCCTTTTTCAACTTGTACACCTTATGCTCATTTCCAATTTTTATATAACCAGGAGGTTGTTCTACAAAAACCTGTTCTTCCAAGTGCCCATACAAAAATGTCAATTTGACATCTAATTGGAAAATAGGCCAAGAATTCTGTGCCGCTAATGCAATCACCAATCTGATTGTATCATGTCTTGCAACTAGAGAAATTACTTCTGTGTAGTCAATTTCATATTCTTGTTTGTATCCTTTAGCCACTAAGCGTGCCTTATACTTGTCAACTTCACCATCATCTTTCAGCTTTGTCTTGAATACCCACTTCACACCAATAGTTTTGTGCCCTTTGGAAGATCTGATAGCTCCCAAGTGCCATTTCTTTCAATGGCATCAATTTCGTCATCCATAGCTTTCCTCCATTTCTCCTCTTTAATAGCATTTTCAAAAGTTGTAGGATCACTATCTGCAAACAATGCAAAGTAGGAAAAATAATCTTCATTTACATCAATTCCTGTTACCTCATAATCCATCATCCACGCGGGCCTTTTGCGAGCACAACGAAGAGACTCATCTGGTGCATCAATTCCTTCCAAAGCTGAGGGTGAAATTTCAGCAGCTGCTGGATTATAATTTTCAGAACTTTCGGGTATTGTTGTTACTTCTTTAACTTCATTATCAATTAAGATTGGAATAAACTGCTGCATATTCCAATCTCAATAGTTTTCTTCATCAAAAATAACATCTCTGCTAGTCACAACCTTCTTTGTCAATGGATTGAACAACTTGTACGCCTTGGATGCCTCGCTAACACCAAGAAAGACACACTTCTTGCTTTTGTCATCAAGCTTCTTCCTCTTCTCGTCTGGGATATGTGCATAGCCAACTCAACCAAAAATTTTAAAATGATCTACAGTAGGTTTCCTTCCACTTCAAGCCTCCTCTGGAGTCATGTTTTGAATGGCAAATGTTGGACTTCTATTCAAAATATGAATACTCCAATTTACTGCTTTTGGAGAGAATGTCTTTGGAACTTTTCCTCGAGCTAGCAAGCTTCGAACCATGTTGAGAATGGTTCTATTCTTCCTCTCCGATACACCATTTTGTTGTGGTGTATACGCCGTTGTGAGCTCTTTTCGAATGGCATAAGTCCCATAAAATTCTTCAAATCCCTTAGAGCAATATTTGCCCCCACGGTCTGTTCGGAAGCTCTTGGTGGTCTTTCCTGTCTCATTCTCCACATTAGCTTTGAAGCTTTTAAATGCATTAAAGACTCTGATTTTTCCCACAGAAACTACACCCAAGTCTATCTAGAATAATCGTGTAATGACCCGACCGGTCGTTTTGAGTTTTTGCACCTTACTCGTCAGTTCTCGGGCATGGTTTGCCCCGTGTGATGGATTATGATTTATGTAAATCGTTGGGTTTGGTTTTCAGGGTAATCAGAATGAATTTGGAAGAACAATTCTCAGTTGAAGCTTGAAATTAGAAAAGTTTGACCAAGATTTGACTTGTTGGTATATGATTTCGGATCGAAATTTTTATGATTTGGTTAGTTCCGTTAGGTGATTTGGGAACTAACTAAATTATTTTGGAGCGTGATCGAAATGCATTTTGGAAGTCCATGGAAGTTTTAGGCTTGAATTAGTGAAATTGAGATTTTGATATTTTCTGGTTGATAGGTAAGATTTTGATATAGGGGTCGGAATGGAATTCCGGAAGTTGCATCAGCTTCGTTGTGTCATTTGTGACGTGTGTGCAAAATTACAGGTCATTCAGACGTGGTTTGGTTGGGTTTTTGATCAAAAGCATAATTTGAAAGTTCTTGAAATTCTTAAGCTTGAATCCGATGCAAATTTGGTATTTTAAGGTTGTTTTGAGCGTTCTGAAGGTTGGAACAAGTTTGAATGATGTTATGGGATATGTTGGCATGTTTGGTTGAGGTCCCGAGGACCTCGGGTGAGTTTCGGGTGGTCAATCGGACCATTTCATGTTGTGAAAAATTGCAGAATTGCTGTTGTTGGTGTTGCAAGTTTTTGACCTTCGCATTCGCGATGCATGTCCCGCGTTCGCAAAGGGTTAAGGTGCGAGGATGTGGAGTTGGCCTTCGCGTTCGCGAAGATGGTTCCGCGATTGCGAAGATGTAAGGTCTTTGGTCATCGCGTTTGCGAGGTTTAGGTCGCGTTCGCATAGAGGAAGAAGGATAGCTGGGTCCTCAGTGCATTTGTTCTACATGTTCGCGTAGTTAGGGTCGCGATTGAAAGGTGTTGAGTGTGTTGTGCATCGCATTCGCGAGAGCTTTCTCACGTTCGCGTAGAATAAATTTCGGTCAGTGAAGCAATGTGCTTCGCGAACGCGAGGGCTATGCCGCATTCGCGAGAGCTTTCTCACGTTCGCGTAGAATAAATTTCGGTCAGTGAAGCAGTGTGCTTCGCGAACGCGAGGGCTATGCCGCATTCGCGATGAAGAAATGTATGGGCAGAAAGTTTATATTTTAAATCAAAGGTTTAAGTCCAATTTCATAAAAACCATTGGAGAGCTCGGGAGAAGGTGGAATTTGAGGAGATTTTCAGTGGAGCTATTGGGGTAAGTATTCTTCACTCATATTTGGTTTAATTCCATGATTTGGTCTTGAATTTCATCATTTAATTTGAGAAATTAGAGTGAAAATTGGGGGGAAATGGAAGAACAGTTGAGATTTCTTTTGGGGATTTGAATGGGCAATTGAGATCGGATTTTGACGAATTTGATATGGGTAGACTTGTGAGTGAACGAGGATTTTATTGATGTGATTTTTATCGGATTCTAAGACATGAGCCCGGGGGCCGGGTTTGAGCAATTTCGGGATTTTTGATGTAAATTAGATATTTTCGAGTGGGCTTTATTTTCTTAGCATATTTTAATAGTTATGTACTGATTGTGGATAGATTTGGAGCATCCGAAGGTTGATTCGTAAGGGCAAAGGCATCGCGGGCTAGAGTTTGGACCAGATCAAGGTAAGTAATGATTGTAAATGTTGTCCTGAGGGTTTGAAACCCCAGATTTCACATCGTTGTGCTACTTTGAGGTGACACACACGCTAGATGATGAGCGTGGAGTTGTGCAACGTTGGTGATTGTGACTTGGTCCGTCCCGTACAATTGTTAAGTCGCGTATTTGATTTGAAATCTTATGATATTTCATATTTTAGAGATTGATATTATATTTTGGGTTGTATGCCATGTTTGGGGCCTTGTGCCGACCTGTTGAGACCCTTAGGGGGCACTTTCACTATTTTTCCTCACTCTGTTTTGAAAGCATATCCTCAATCATGTTTTACCTGTTTATTGTTTAAATCTGGTTTTATCACTTTACTTCTTGAAATGTGAAAACTGTTTGGGCTGAGTTCCTTGTTTTACTGATGGTCTGAGTGATCGTGAGGTTGATGACTGAGATAGACCGAGGGTCTGATTGTGAGGTTGATGACTGAGATAGACCGAGGGTCTGATTGTGAGGTTAATGACTGAGCGAGGCTGAGGGCCTGTTGTGAGGATTATATTTATATGGATCGGGTTGCATGCCGCAGCGATATAGCGCTTGGGCTGTAAGAGCCCCTCCGGAGATCGCAGTCGACTATATATATGGATCAGGCTGCACGTCGCAACAGTTACTATATAGTACCTATTGAGTGTGAATGCTGAGTGTGAGCGCTGATTGGAAAGAGTTGAGTCACGAGTGACTGAGAGTCTTGCCCAAGGGGCTATATATATATACATGTACATGAGTGATGCTTTGCCTGAGGGACTAGTTTATGAACTTACTGTTTTCACCCCTCTTTAAAGTGAAATTGAACATGTTGATTTAATTACTGCTTTCACTCATCTTTAGACCGAGCCTCTATTGAAAATGATGAACAAATGTTTTCAATAATCTTTTATTTAAACTGAAGTTTTTAAGTTATGAAAAGGATTGTGAATTTATGTTATGCCAAGGGGCTGTATATGAACTATGTTTTGCCCGAGGGGCCGATTATGATTTTTATCTCTTTTATTATAAATGGTATTGAACCCCTACTGAAACTGTTGGAAAGCATTTTTCAAATGATTTTCACCAAAAGCTGGATTTTAAATGAGACGATTGACTCGTATTTTGATTTGAAAGATTGTTGTGCTTATTGAGTTTATCATAAATGTGGATTCGTCGTTTCCTACTGCTTATTATTTATTTACTCTTATTACTTACTGGGTTGGAGTACTCACATTACTCCCTGCACCTCGTGTACAGATTCAGGTATTTTAGAATCCGGTAGCGGGTGTTAATTGCTCAGAGGCGGAGTCGTCGGAGTTAGCAAGGTGGCTGCATGACGTTCGTAGCACTGCTTTCTTTCCTCTCATTTCCATTACTGTATTTGGTACATTTTTAGACTCTTGTTGTATTCAGACCTTGGTAGATGCTCATGACTAGTAACACCCCGATGTCGGGCTTGTATGTTATTTCTGCACTGTTCATTCAGACTTATATTATGAAATATTTGTTTAATTAAATGCTTAAAAATGACTCTTAATGATTAAAGGGTTAAAGTGGGTGTTGTGTCAGCTGGCCTTGTCTTTACGAGAGGTGCCATCACGACCAGGTCTGAGTTTTGGGTCGTGACAAGTTGGTATTAGAGCCTAGGTTACATAGGTCTCATGAGTCATGAGCAGGTTTAGTAGAGTCTCGTGGATCGGTACAGAGCCGTCTGTATTTATCCTCGGGAGGCTTCAGAACCTTTAGGAAAAACTTCACATTCTTGAATTCTTATCGTGCGTCTTTGATTCAGCTTGAAATTTAACTCTTTGAAATCCTTCCACGCGTTCATATGCGCGCGTGAGCGCTCGGTATCATATGTGCATCGATGGCTTGTGATTCCCTGATCGACGGGCGAGATGTGATCTCTGTGTGTTGATGTAGGGCTAGTCTGGAGGACTCGAGGCCGGATTTTTGGCTATAGCTTGAGCTCTGAGCTGATGATTGTGTGAGCGTGTGCTTCTAGACCTTTATGTTCTGTTGTGTCCCTATTAAGGGGAGTAATGAGTGGATAGCTACGTGATGAGTATGTTATGGCTGCGAGATGTGTCCATATGAACCGAATGAGGCGAGAAGGGTCTGCTTTGGGGCAGCAAGGACTTTTTGGTATTTGATTTCCATCTTAATTCGAAGTATAGCCCCGAGTTATGGGTGTGTGAAGAATCTTTTCATGTGTTCTAATTAGGAGTGAAGTAAATTTCATGTTGCGGTATGAGTTCAGACTCAGGAAGACTAAGTGACTGCGTGATGTTTATGACGGTGGAAGGTATACAGAAATGTTAGTTGGAGGCAAAACAGGTGTGTTATCTCCTGCGGCGTGTTCTGAGGTTGTGTGATCCTTATGTTGTCTGTTAGGAGGTCTCATTTACAAGTGAATTATATGTGTTGGAATTTAAATTTGGGCCGCTTAAGAGAGTGGGCTTGACTATTACAAGGGTGAATGCGAGATTTGCATAAGATTTAAAGTACTAGGTGGTCTGTGTTCATGAGTGTATGAAGGGTTGAGTTTAATCTCACTATAGTATTATGGTAGCAATAGAGTATATGTGTTATGACCTGTGGCCACATATGTCAGAGTGAACCAACTCCAAAACATGCTTTGCTCACCATGATTTGCCTTTCGGGAATTGAGATTGGTGTTGTTTGCCAACAACACATTCTTCACAAATTTGAGAAGGAGCAGTAATTTGAGGAAGACCTGTGACCATGTTCTTCTCCTGAAGTGTCTTCAATCCTCCAAAACTCAAATGACCATAACGAAAATGCCACAACCATGAGGGATCATTCACTTCCGTCATCAAACAAGATTGAATACTATCAATCTTTATCGGAAATAATATGTTGGAACTCATCTGAACTATTGCTATAGCTCCTCTCACAGGGTCATAAATTTCACACTCACCCTTCTTAATAGTGATGACATAACCTTTCTCTTGCAACTGACCAACACTCAGTAAGTTGCTTTTCAAATTAGGAACATATAACACATTAGAGATTGTTTCCACAAAACAATTCTTGGTTTTGATCTTGATGTCACCTTTTCCCGTTGCATCGACAGTAAAACAATCACCAAAACTAACTTTAGAACGGAAGCCTTCATTTAAGTAAGAAAAGCAAGACTTACTTCCAGTCATGTGATTAGTGCAGCCTGTGTCTAAATACCAAACATCTTGCTCGGTTTCCTTCTCTACTTAAATTGCCATCAACAAGGTCTCACCTTCCTTGTTCTCCACGTAATTGGACTTCTCTTCCTTTTCTTTTTCATTAGGCAGCCCAGTATAACATTCAGATGCGTAATGACCAAATTTATGACATCTATAGCACTCTGTCTTGGATTTGTCATAATCTCGACCTCTGCCTTTTCCTTGAGATTGATCATTATTTGCTTTGAAATTCCTACAGGAATCTCTAACTCCACGATCTCCTCTTCCTCTTCCTCTGCCTCAACCTCTACCTCTACCCCTTCCTCTGGAATTGGAAGAAGAAATAAAAGTAGAAGCCTTCAAAGCCTGCTCATCGAAAGTTGAACTACGGTTCATCTTCTGCTCATGCACCAATAAAGAGCTCTGCAATTCGTCAAGTGATAAGACATCTATGTCTTTTGACTCCTCAATGGAGCAAACGACATAATCACACTTTGGTGTCAGAGAGCGCAATATCTTTTCCACTATTACGATGTCGCCCATGTTCTCACCATGGAATCGCATTTTGTTGCATATCTCCATGGTTCTAGCACAGTAGTTGGTGACGGATTCTCCTTCCTTCATCTGCAAGGTTTCGAAGTCCCTCCTCAAGGCTTGTAGTTGTGCTCACTTCACTCTTGTAGAGCCTTGATACTTTTTCTTCATGGAATCCCATATATCCTTGGAAGTTTCTTTGCAAAGAATGGTTTCCAAGATGGAACGCTCAATAGCCTGAAAGAGATAATTTTTTGCCTTTAAATCTTTCAACTTTCTTGCTTCAAACTCAGTCTTTTGAGCATCCATCAAAGTTTCGCCTACTGCTGGCGATTTAATACCATCTTCAACAATTGGCCAATACTCTTTTGACCGTAAGAAATTCTCCATCAGCATACTCCAGTGGTCATAGTGACCATCAAAACAGGGAATAGCTGCTTGCACAAAATTGCTCTCTGAAGCCATAGATGAAGAACAATTTTTTTTGTTTTTGGGTAAACTCTCTCTCTCACGGGTTTATCTTTTTTCTGGATCTAACCTTGTTCGGATACCACTGATAAAAAACTAATGAGAGAAGGATGTAGATTTATAAGTGAAAAATAGAGCAGAGAAAGAGGTAATAGACGTGAAGAAGAAATGGCTTGACTGATTGACTGCAATGCTGCAACTGCAGCCTTTTTATATATAAAAAAACATAGCAAACTTAAGCTAAAAATTAGGAACTACCCCACAAAATTTTCTCCTAAAAATTAGATTACAAAAACCACGTTAAATTACTTCCTAAGGACTAGGACAAACCTAAAAAAAGTAGGAATTTTATTTACTAACAAGAGGGCAATTCGAAAGAAAAAAATTGGATGTGAAACTCGAATTGATTGTTATGTGTAGCTACTTTAGTTAAATTCAATAAATTAAAACTGAAAATGAAACTAAAGAAATGACGAATGGCTTACCAAATGGACAACGCATCAAGAGCCAACGTTGCATTCTCCAAATACCCTGTCATCAACATTAATATCCTATAGTACCAGTTCTCCAAGCTACAAATAAATGTTCAAAACATAATTATAAGATTGTAATCACAATTTTTATTCCCATATCTTGTCTTCAAATAGTATAATTAAGTCAGATATTCAAGCAGATTTATAATTAAAACAAAATATTTTTGTTTAAGAGCGGTATTAATTTTGCGTACCAAAGCATGACGCCAGAAGCGGCAGAGAGTCGAATGAATTCCCAAAGTCCCGAAAATGCTTGTGTGGAGAAACCACTCCACGTTTCTGGACATCCACCACATGCGGTGTACCAAAACAACCCAATAAACAACAACCACCACGATATATCCAGTGCCACGGCGGCTCCCACTATTCCGAGATTCAGTTTGTACACGAACAGCCAGCTAACCACCGTGTGAATCGCCAGCACCGCCAGTGAAACCCAAGCGAGAACCGCCGTCTTCAGCTGGCTCTGCAAAAACCTCTGTATCGGAAACTGAAACGCAAAGCTGAAGTGCAGCGGAATAAACCACAGCGCCACCATTCCTGATAGTTCTGCCACGTCGTCCGGTTGGCCTAACGCTCTCAAAATTGGGGTGGCGAATATGTACAGCGGCAGCAATAGGAAGCAACATAGAAATAGAACGATCCATGATCTTTGCATGTATATTCCTAACATGTGATGTTTTTTTGCTCCAAAAGCTTGTCCACATAACGTCTCTAATGCACTCGCCATTCCTAGCTACATGTCCATGTCAAAAATTAAACCAAAAAACAGAAGTTACTCACTACTTTTGTTGATTGGCAACAGAGTAGAAATTCTAACAAGAAATCCGACAAGTACCCGTGGATTTAGGATTTTAAATTCTGGGTGCTCGCCAAAAAAATTTGAAAGAAAAGGAAAAAGGAGTTTAGATGTAGGTGCTTACTCAATATTTATTTAAATATTTTTATAATTATTTATGCAAATTTACTAAATCTTGTGCTTGAGCACCAGCAAATGGCCATGTAGATCCGCCAACAATAGTAGATAAGAGTTAAACATGTAACCTAAAAATATTACTATACCAGAAGCTTAATTATTATATGTCACAACAATTTGTATATATTATATACTCCTCCGTTTCAATTTATGTCAACTCATTTGACTAGGCACGGAGTTTAAGAAAAGAGAGAACATTTTTAAACTTGTAGTGTAAAATGAGGCACATATATTTTGTGTGGCTATAAATCATTGCATAAAGGTAAATTGTTTCCAAATAAGGAAAGAAGTCATTCTTTTTGATACGGACCAAAAAGGAAATAGTTTCACATAAATTGAAACGGAGGGAGTAGTATTGAAGAGGGATATACATACAAGGAGGCCAAAGTTGAGGCCAACAATGACAGTGTTAGAAATGGAGATGGCAGCGAGTTCAACTTCACCAAGGTGTCCAGCAAAACCTTGAGTGATAATGTTCATGGTATAAGAGGCTATACGGCTGAAGATGGATGGACCAACGATATGCCATAGTTTCTTTGTTTCGATCCATACTCTTGTTTTTAGATCTTTATCATCATCTTCATCAACTCTTTCAACTGTATTTTTCGACAGCAACCAGTCCGCGGAGGTTGCCTCCGCCAGCAACGGTTGCCGGTTTTCCTCGTTATCTTTAACGCTGCCCATTTTGTAATATACTAGAATAAGGCAGAGGAAGGTGTAAAATTTAGTAGGTGGTTACCAAAAGGAGAGTTGTATATGAAAAACCGTGGGGCGATTTTGTGGGGAAGTTTATAGAAGAACCCAAGTAATACGATGACGGCGTAAACTTTTACATTCAGCGTAATTGGACTGATAGCAAAGTAGTTGCCAATTTTGAATTGTTTGGATCATTTCATTTACAAATTCGATCAGTATGGAAAGTCTTTTTTTGTCAACTACTAGTTTTAATACTAACAGAAATTACGTTTACAGTCAGCAATACTAATTAAATTGCATTAACAGTCAGTACCTATTAAAGTAATCTAATGAATCTTATAATCGAAAAATTAAACTGGTCTTAGACTGATCGATCTATCCATGTGATTAGAGCTTGTGAAGTAAACAAGAGCAATAGTTAATCGAAAACCTTTGTGTGTGTGGGGTTTTTTTTTTTTTGAGAAGAATACTTCACTTTAATTGTTTTTTGTTGTTTTCACACATATTAAGGAATTCACCTTTTAATATTAATTAAATATAAAATTGACCATATTAACCTTAATTTGTTCATTAAAAATATAATAAATACTCCTAGGCTCTTTACTCCAAGGGCAACTTTGGAAAAAAGAAATTAATTCCTTTTTGATATCTGAAAAAATCAAATATTATGGATTACAAAAAAAAGAGCTAAAAATTAATTAAAGTAGACAGGAGGGAGTAGTAATTATCATAAATTATGCATCATTACAAAATAAAGGGTTCACACGGCTATTGGAATATATATATATATATATATATATAATTTCAAGGCTGTGATTATTTAATAAGGTATTACCTCCATTGAGCCGATTCGAATTTGTAGAGGCTGGTAATTGTTCGGTTAGGTTGTTTTAATTTCACTAGGATTTCATTTAAGATAAGGAACTTCACGGCTTAACACTGTCATATTTCTAGCTCACTATTTCAAACGAGATAATACAGTGCGGTTTTGTAGCTATGATTTATATTTTCTCTCCATTTTAATTTATATCATTGTACTTACCTAGATTCAAAAATTGTTGTTGTATATTGCATATATAATAAAGTGTCATTAAAATAAAATAAGAATATGTCAAATATAAAAATGGGTCAATATATATTTGAACGATTTTAAAAGCAAACGTAGTATTAAATGAAACGGACAAGTAGCAAAATAAAAAATGGCTCCTTCTCAAGCAATTGAATGCCAACTTGATTATAGTCATGATTCATGACTTGATAACAAAAGATATGACAAAAGATGTGGTTGTAGCACTTTTTTCATTGCTTTTCACGCTAAAGAGCAATTAAATGCTAGTACTAGTAAAATTTTATTTTCCAGGATAATTTTGTTGCCTTCTTTTTTTCTATTACAATGTGAAATCTATTTAGAATCTTTGACAAAAATATGTAAATTTTTTGTTTCAAATTCTAAGAAACGTGTACAGTAAAAAATGCATATGACAAATGAGACTTAACACAGATTTAATAAAAAGATAAAGAATTTCTGAGCAACGATCGTAAGAGATTAGTGACAAATTGAACCCGACAAATGAGATTTCTACATCAGAAAGTAATATAAATGACAATTACTTAAATCACAAAAATATGCATTAAAACATGTGCTGAAATTAAAATACATGCACCGCCTGGTATGAACCAGGGCCCCTAGTTATAGGAAAAATTTCCTGAAACTAGTAAATATTTAACAAATGTGGAACCAACTGGGCCATCAGCCATACAGTTGTAAGTTTAGTTTGAGAAATTTCAAAATGTATTTGAGCTAATATACCACCAGACATAGTACTTTTGTAACTAGAACTTTCTTTTACAAGTGATGATGATTGACAAAGATAAATGACCATATAATTCTACTTTGGTGCAAGCTGAGTTGTGGCGGATTGTATTCACCTTCCAGTTGCCTAAACTCATTAAAAATTATAGGTTTTCATACCTCAAATATTTGATCTTGTTGTTCCTACACCCTTCTTAGCAAGCTCAAAGGTGGAGCCATGTCACAGCTGTATAATTTTTGTTTCTCTTTGATTTTGGTAAGTGGGTGGAGATATATCAGCTTTCTAGCTAGAAGATCATTATTTTGTGTAAATAATTCTTCATCGGTGAAATAACGTTGTATAGCGCTCTCAAAATAATAGCTGAAAATATGGTTATATATATTTCAGTATGTTATATACAAAAAATATACAAATTGTATACATTTTTGCGGCTACCAAATATAAATAGTTTCGGCCGCGGGCTAAAAATTGATCTTTGCTCTTCTTCGTCTCCATCATCATCAAGCCCATCTACGAACCTATTTTTAGTAGGAAAAAAAAGGTTGTATATTACAATAGACCACACAAGTCCACGTTAGTACAATAGACCCTATGGTCCGGTCCTTTTTCGAATTCCGTGCATACCGGGAGCTTAATGCACCGGACTGTCCTTTTTTTATATTACTCATGTGCCGAATTGTACCAAATTCCTGCAATTGCAATTGGTAGGACGAATTTAACCTGTTATTCACTGGCATAGGAACAACAATGTTTATATCATTATGATTCCCTTCCCCTGAGCCAAAGAACCAAAAATAATAGAGGGGCAAAAGAAGAAGCAAAGCTGTTTAAGAAAATTTATATAAAAACCTAAAACTCCATAAATATAGCCAGAGTTTGGACATAAATTTAGTTTTATCTTGAAAAAAATGAGTTTTTGAATATGAAATGAAAATTAAATTTTTAAAGTTAAAATTGTGTTTGGACATGCATTTTACTTGAAAAGAATTTGCAGTTTTGTGAGTAGAAAACTTCAAAAACTACTCTAGAGCTATTTTTGAGATTTTAAGCCTTTGTTTTCAAAAGCTGCCAAAAAATGGTTTAAATCTATAGACAAACGGATATTTGATTTGCTAAGAAGAGATCACAATCCCTTTCAAAGATACGCTTCAATCTTCATGATACTACCAGAACTTGTACAAAGATACAAAAATGTGAGTTCTGAAAACTCTGATTTCTCTGAAAAATAATGAAAAACTGATGTTAATCCTCTGGTCTTTTGATTCATCCCTGTACCATTTTCCTCCTTTCAAGGAAGCACAAAATAAAAAAGACAGTACGATCACGGTCAGACTGCTGAAGAGTCCAGATGATAATAAGCATTTAGCTACACCTAAGACCTCATCAGTTTCTATCTCTACAATAATAGCTACAAACACCAAGCACAAGAGCAAGTGATTGGAGCGTTTTACTTTCTTTAGTGAACTTAATTGACGCAAATCTAGATTAATAGACCAGTGAATTCGAACATCAAATAGTTAAAAAAATACAAACAAAAGCAACTGGAACAAAGATATTATATATCACGGAAATGTTATATCAACAAATAGCACAACTATCTTCCAACATTAGCAGACCCCAAGTTTTCTGCATGCGTGTGAGACCCTTTGTTAGTGAGTGTTAATGAATCAAGAACAATGTCGTTGACATTCCTCTCGAATTTCAGCTTCTCATACCTAAGTTGAATGTCCAGTAGAAAAAGTTGAATTTTTCATAGAAAATTTTGGCAAGGGAGAAATATTTCTTGCTACACAGCCAAATTGAAAGGAGAATTATCTAGTTCGATATTATACCTCTTTATATGGTCCATTGACATCTGATGGTCATAATCGTTAATATCAATGTTTGAACTATAGTCCCCGTGATCATGCCATACCATAAGCCCTGCAAATTTACTTGCTACATGTTATCTCCAGTATACGTTTGAGTATATTAGATTGTAGTCGTTTTACCACAGTTAATATTATAAAGGGAGATCGATTCTAAAATATCATGGTTTACTGTTTTACATACCGTTAATCCAAAATCTAGTGACCATCCAAAAAATATTCCGAGGGGCACTCCTACTAAATAATAGCTGCCTAAGTTGACATATGCCACATGTGCTTGCCAACCAGATCCAATTGCTACGCCTGAAAACATTGTAGCAAATAATTAACTACAATACATGGTTTTTCATATAAATGTCAGCATCTAATACTTTGAGATGGATTTAACTTTTAAAGAATCTTTACATTCTCGACGTATTTTAACCTATTGTAGTAGGTACCTTACATTATTTCTAGGCTACTAATTCTATAGTGATGAAAAGTTATCTCTAATTATCTCTTAGTACATGATAGTGCAAAAATTGGTTTACACTGTCAATATATAAAAGTTAAACTCCTTTAAGATTCCTCACCTGAAAGAACCGGTTGAACGCAATTACAAAGGATTGTGGTCGCCAACAAAAATGCAAATCCACACACCATTCTAATGACAGGAGTACTTGACGTGAATATCATTGAAAGCTTATCAGGAAAGGCCATAACTATTGACCAAAACAAAATGCCCAATGCTAAAGTGTTCAACAATGCAACTTTCGTGGCAAACTTTGCATGGTTCCCATTTCCAGCTCCAAGCTCATTTGCAACACGTACCCTATATTTAAAGAAAAATGCATAGTTACCGGATGAAACTTTCGTATGGTACTATGGCCCAATGAAACTTCAGTGGCAGAAAACAAGAAATGACATATGCTCTTTTCTATTATTAATAAACATTCATGTACCAGAAGAGAAAAGATGAACAAACCATAAGCTACACTTAATTTAAATAGTAGAATGAATTCAACTATTTGATGAACATACCCTGTTGCCGCCAAAAGACCTAGTGGAATCATGGATTCCCACCCGATGATTGTAATACTGGAGAAGAAAGAACATCAATTTACTCCCAAAATCAAGCAAAAGATAGCATTTACTTGAGCTAAATATACAATAAAAAAGAACAAACCAGATAGAGAGCGCATCAACTGCAACCTCAGTATTGTTCATGTACCCAGACACAATAACTAGCACTCTAAAATAAATATGCTCCAACCTGAAATATCAAACATTATTATATTAATGTGACTGTGTTTCTGATAACAGAGAGAAATAAGGGACAAGAAAGCATACAATAGCATCACCCCAGAAGCCACAGCGAGCTTAAAGAAATCCCAAAGACCAACAAACGCTTGCATAGAGAAACCAGTCCAAGAATGAGGGCACCCACCAAAGACAATGTAAGCAAGAAATCCCAACACAGAAATCCACCAAGAGAAATCAAGAATGAGGGCAGTCCCAACAATTCCAAATCCCAATTTATATAGAAAAATCCAACTCAAGACCACGTGAAGAGCAAGTGTCCCGCCAGAAACCCAAGCAATTACCGATGTTTTTAGCTGACACTGCAGGAACCTTAACAAAGTGAACTGAAAAGGGAAACTCAAGTGCATAGGGATTAGCAGAATTGCTACTTTTCCAGTCAATTCAGCCACTGCTTCCGGCTGCCCCAGTAGCTCCAATATAGACGCGGCATAAACAAAAAGAGGCAATTGTATCATTGAGCTGATAAATAACACAACCCAAGAACGTTGCAAGTATACGCCCAACATATGGTATTGCTTTGCCCCATAAGCCTGGCCACACAATGTCTCCAGAGCACTGGCCATTCCCAGCTGACCAATCAGTAATACTTCAATAACATCAACAAAATTTCAAACAAAAAATTTATATAAAGCAGCTGATAGTTTTCTCTATATCAGACATGGATTTAAATAAACTAAACCTCATTATTCATTTCTTATTTAATTTTACAAAAATCAATCATTTGGTGAGTACTTTCTTTCTTTGGAGTTTAAATTCTATACACAGGCAATGTAAAAAAAAAGGTATTTAAACAATCTGATTACTTATACTGTAGTTACAGGTAAAAGGGTAGCCCTGTGCACGAAGTATCCCGCGATTAGAGGTTGATTCCACGATTCGAACCCGTGATATATAGTCACACGGAGACAACTTGACTGTTGATCCAAGGCTCCCTTCACTGTAGTATAGGTAGATATCTCTATTTTGATTAAGCTACACTAATCATATTAAAAATTACACACTATTAGTCATATAACTTATAGATCCTTTTGCATTTTCAAAAAGAATAACATACCAAGAAGCCGAAAGTAATGGGAATGAAGAAAGTGGTGGCAAGGGAAATGGCGGCGAGGTCACGGTTACCCAAGTGGCCGGCGAAGGATTGACTGATAACTGTGAGAGAAAACATGGCCAATCGGCTGAAAATGGAAGGTCCAGCTATTTCCCATATCTTCTTTGATTCTCGGCATGTTCTTTTGACTAAATTATCTGCTTTTGATTCTTCTTCTTCTTCTTCTGCTCTGTCTTTGAAGTGTAAAAGGGGCTCATTTCCTGTGGTTGAATTCATTCTTCTATTGAGTAACAGCATCACAACGATAATTGCCGAATGACAAGGACAATAGATCGGAAGGTTCAAAAAGACAACAATGTCGATCCAAAAATATAAATTAAAAGCCAAGTTGGGAAATTAAATAAAATTATTAATCAAAATTAATAGACAAACTAGTTAAAATCTTTCGTAAGCTACAGAGTACAGACAACTCAACCTGCCTCGCAACCCCTTTTAACTGAGAGAAAAAAAAAAGTCAAGGTAGGGAAATGAGAATAGAAAATCCATAAATAATGCTCGCCTTTGGCGATAGATTTGTGACATTTAAAAAAAATTAAGAATATTATTTATTCATAGAATATGATCAGTTTTTTAAAAGAAAATTGAAAAGAATTATCAATCCCTAAAAAATGATTTAGGACACTTTTTGGGTGAACTATTATTTTTCACTCACAAAACTTCAACTTTTATTCAAATAAAATACATATCCAAATACAACCTTAACTTCCAAAACTATTTTTCAACACAATTTAAAAAAAATCAAATTTCTATTAAATGTATGTCCAAATGCTAGTGGTATTTCAATATTTGTGATAACCAAAATTCATTATTTTCGAATACGTACTGAAATTTAGTCTTTGAAATACTGATGAAATATTAGTTATTCGGAAATTATTTTAAGTTAGATTATGCTTTTAGTAAAATTATTTTCAAACACAATTTCAACTTTTAAATAATCTTTTATAACTTTAATTTCAAATAATTTCCTTGAGCTTCAACAAAATCTTATTCAAACATCTACTTAAGATACAAAGTGGCAGCTCAGTAAAAAAGTTTTCATTTAATTTTCAAATATAACCTTTATAAATTTCCAATGAACTTATTGTTTAACTTTAAGGACAAAAGAGAATTCATTTTCTTACTTTACCACTTTAAATAATTGAAGATTTCATATGGTACGATTTAAGGTATAAAGTGGTAGCTCAGTAATATGCTGCAGTTCTTTTTTTGTTTTACTTTATTTATTAAATATTATCTATACTATATTAAAAGCACGAAGGCCCTTAGCAAAATGTCGTTCGTCATTTTTACATTTTAAAAATAAATCTTATATTGGACAAAATCGTAAATAAATTATTTACCTAATATTTAGGAATTTGAAATCAACTAAAATCTTTCTTACTAAATCTTTTTTATTTGAATTACTATATAGGAAGTCCTAATATTTAGGACATTAAAATCAATTGAATTTTACCTTATATAATTTTTTCATTATTTGAACTAATAGATAAACTCGATAATAATAAATGCCATTGACCAACAATTAAGGGTTTTAAAGGAGCTGAAATAAATTAACTCACGTCAAACTATCGAGGATGACGTGAATTTTAAATTTGGATACAAAATCTTGAGTTTTAAAACGTATAGCAAAAATTTACTTTCGTGTGCACTAATTGTGTTTTTCCTTTTTTATAATCATGTTCATTGAAAGTTTAAAAAATTTTACACTTCCAAAATTTGAGTCATTTAATTATTTATTTAGTATTTAAAACTTTGATATTTACTAAAATTACTAAGTCTCTCTCAATTTGAATTAGCATTATCAAAGAATTCTAACGAATTAAATGTTTAGAACATTAATATTAACTAAATTTTGAAGACTAAATCTCTCGTTATTTGAAATATATTCTATCATAGATCTAACCAATTAATTTTATATAATTAATTATCTTTAAAAAAAGACTAAGTAAAAAACTATGAAGTGGATAATGTCGGTTGGCACTCATCCAATTTCCGTATTCTTAATTATTTATTTTTAACCGGTGAAAAAAACCAAGCTCTTAAATCATCAAATACTGTATAATCTTGCATAAATTGAAAAGGAGGCATAATAATTCAAAGTTGAGATGATAAAGTTATAGAACTCAGACTAACTTTAAATTAAATATATGAAATGATGATCGATGAATTTTATGGAGCAGAATCTCTTCCTTTATTGAGTTAGCTTATACTCATGAATTCTGGAGCTTAAATTTTTATTTTGTACTTTTAAATTATTTTTAGTGGTATATTTATTTATTTAAAAAATCACTCATCGAGATGGGGTACACGCGCAAAGTGCGTACCATAAGACTAATTAATTAGAAATGTCTAAGCAGCTATGCACCAACAAAATAAACTGTTCGCACATCAATAGCAATAATTTGTTTTATTTTTGAAAAAAAGATACTCCTAAGTCCTAATAAAAAAATTGAGAGATTGAAGACAATGAGACAACATTACAATAACTGAAAATGACGCTAGATGGCCCTTTTTAAACTATTATTTATCTTTTGACGTCGTTAAAAAAAGTTTTGAAAAAATAATCTCGTGTCAGTATTTTAAACACGGTCGACAGTATTTTGAAGCATCAAAAAACTCTGATGATGACCAGAATTTTTAGCACCAGAATTTTGAAGCACAAAAAATTATGACTATCACCAAAATATTTAGTCACAATACTGAAAAGTTCTGGTAATTCATCAGAATTTATGTCAAAATCGGGGCGATCACCATAACTGTTGTGTACTTTAAAATTCTGCCCAATATGCTTTAAAGTTCTAACGATCGAGAATAATTCTACCGAGCAAACTTAAAAGTTCTAGGATGAGGTTTCTTCCCTAACACTTTTGTTATTGAGATAAAAAAATCAAATAACACCGAAATATCCTATTTTTGTCATTCTTTTTATAGGAACTTTGTTAGGACTTACGATAGAAAAGATAGGTGGGCTTGAAGGTGAATTGGGCCAGCTGAGAAGGTGATTATTGGGCCAGTCAGGAAGAGTACTATGTTTGCAACCCTAGTTAATAGCACGGGCAAAGATCACTTTTAGCCTGTGGCTGAAATTATTTATATTCGATATCTGCAAAAGTGTATAAAATTTATATATTCTTTTATGTCACGACCCGAATTTTTCGTCTTCAAAGCCGTGATGACGCCTAACATTGAACCTGCTAGGCAAGCCAACGTTACAGAACATCTTACCTTTTTCCTTTATCTTTTAAATATTTAAGACTTAACAAAATGAACCCAACGGAAATAAATGTGGAAGAAAACAGTTTAAAAGCTTAACTTTATACAATAACGAAAACCAAAATGAAATCCACCCAGAACTGGTGTCACAACTCACGAACCGTCTATGAATACTACAAATAAAGCTTTGAACGAAAAGTTTACATCTGTCTTGAAAGTAGATAAAACAGAAATGAAATAGGATAGAAGGGGACGCCAGGTCCTGCGGACTCCTGTAGGACTACCTTGGGTCTCCGTGAAGCAGTGATATCAACCAACCTCACGATCAGCCACTAGCTCCAAAATCTGCACAAAAAGTGCAGAGTGCAGTATCAATACAACCGACCCCATGTACTGGTAAGTATCGAGCCTAACCTCAATGAAGTAGTGACGAGGCTACGGCGGGGCATACAACATATACAACATGCAACAGTTTATACTAAGCAGAAAGGAAATACAGAATATAATGAAGCAATAACTGGCATTAAATAAATCTGGAACCCAACTGCTCTACTAGTATTCACCTATACCCAATCCTTAGGGGTGTTTCAACAACACAATAATGGACCTCAACAGATATGAACACTTAACAACAACTGATGCGGCGTGTATCCCGATCCTATCACATAAACAACAACAAAATCAATATTCACCCTTATTTCTCCTTGTTGCGACGTGCAACCTCATCCCACCTGTCCACCCTTATTACTCCTCAATACATATCACCCTTATTCCTCCTGTTGCGGTGCAACCCGATCCCACCTATCCACCCTTATTACTCCTTGTTGCAGCGTGCAACCCGATCCCACCAGACAAACACATTTTCACCCTTATTTCTCCTGTTGCGGCTTGCAACCCGATCCCAAAATATATATATATACCAGCACCAATCATAAATGAATAAAGACAAGTGTTTCACAGGTAAATTCAATTTCTCCAATATACTTATACCGCAATCCACACAATGGAATATTACTATGATTAGAAAACTTCACTGGTGTAAACTACTCAGCGAAACCAACCAAAGTGTGCCATAAGGCACCAACAAGCCAATACAAGCCAACAATGTAATAAAACGAAACCATGAAACAATTAAATACTTCAATAAAGAGAAAAACAGTCAATATGAAGCGATTAGACATGGAACATATATGAGCAAGTAGCAATTAATATATAGAAGCAATTATGAACAAGTAGCAATTAATGCAAGAAATAGTACAATAGGAAACGGGGAAGGGAACAAGTTAAAAAATGGAAATTTGGTGGCGCATAAGTACTCGTCACCACACCTATACGCCACACACATGGAATTTCACATAGCAAATAAGTCGGGGAATTCCTATTCCCTCAAGTCAAAGTTAGGCAAATACTTACCTCAAGCCAACGGGTAATTCAACACTCAATCATCGCTTTACCTCTCGATTCCACCACCAATTCACTCGTATCTAGCAATAATTAATTTAACAACATCAATAAACGCTAAAGGAAACAATTCCAATGCATAATCATAGATTTTCTAACATCCCCAAAAATATAAAAATCGACCCCGGGCTCGCTTGATCAGAACTCGAAATTCGGACCAAAAACCGATTACCCATTCACCCCGAGCCCGAATATACAATTAGTTTTTGAATCCGACCTCAATTTTGAGGACTAATTTCCCAAATTTCGAAATTCCTAAATTCTACCCAAAAACAACCAATTCCCCATGAAAATCCCTAGATTTTGTGATGAAATCTTGCAAAATGATGAGATGGATTGAAAGAGTTGAGTTAGAAATCACTTACCTATGATTTGGAGAAGTTTGAGTCTTTGGAAAATCTCCTAGGGAGGTTTAGGGTTCGAGAGATTTGAAAAATAGGTGAAAATCCCGTCTAAGTTATGATTTACACAGTTGCAGATATAGCATTTACTATCACATGTTCACAAATGCGACCAAAGAATCGCAAATGCGAAACTTGGCCTGACCTGCTGCCTTCGCAAATGCGAACTATTGTTTGCAAATGCAGTGACCGTTGGAGTTGCAATTGCGACGATGAAATTCGCAAATGCGAAGCTCCCCCTCCCTGCCCTCTGATCGCAAATGCGATGAAACTTCGCAAATGTGATGCTCGCATTCGCGAGCCAGACTTCGCAATTGCGAAGTCTGCAGATCTGCAACACAACAGTTAATT